ACTACTATTATTTAAATTTACACACCAACCACCAAAGACAAAGGTGAGGAAATTGAAGATTTTTATCAACTTCTACAGTCTGAAATTGACCGAACATGCTATCAAGATGTGTTGCTTATCACTGGTGATTCGAATGCAAAAGTTGAAACAAAGAAGAATCACTGGCAGTTGGAAAATTTGGCCTTGGTGATAGAAATAACACTGGAGATCACATGATATAATTTTGCAAGACCAATGGCTTATTCATTTCAAATACCTTTTTTTCAACAATACAAATGGTGGCTATACACATGGACTTTACCAGATGGGAGTATACAGGAGTCAGATTGACTACATCTGTGGCAAGAGGTGTTGGAAAAGTTCTATATCTTCAGCCAAAACAAGTCCAGGAGCTGATTGTGGCACAGACCACCAACTGCTCACATGCAAGTTCAACTTGAAGTTGAAGGCAATTAAAACAAGTCCACAAGGGCCAAAATATGATCTTGAATATATCCCTCCTGAATTTAGACAGCATCTAAAGAATAGATTTGATGCATTGAACACCAATGACCGAAAACCAGAAGAATCAGGGGATGACATCAAAAGCATCATCCATGAGGAAAGCAAGAGGTCATTAAAAATATGAGAAAGAAAGAAAAGACCAAAAAGGAAGTCAGAAGAGACTCTGAAACTTGCCCATGAGTGGCGAGTAGCTAAAGCAAATGGAAGAAATGACAAGATAAAAGAGCTGAAAATATTTCAAAGAGCAACTTGAGCAGACAATATGAATTACTATAATGAAATGTGCAAAGATCTGGAGTTAGAAAAACAAAAGGGAAGAACACGTTTGGCATTTCTCAAGCTGAAAGAACTATGGAAAAAATTTAAGCCTCAAGTTGCAATATTAAAAGATTCTATGGGCAAAATATTGAATGATGCAGGAAACATCAAAAGAAGATGGAAGGAATACACAGAGTCATGGTACCAAAAAGAACTGGTTGATATTCAACCATTTCAGGAGGTGGCGTATGTTCAAGAACCAATGGTATTGAGGGAAGAAGTTGAAGCTGCACTGAAAGAATTGGCAAAGAACAAGGGTCCAGGAACTGATGGAATACCCATTGAGATGTTTCAACAAATGGGCACCCTGCTAGAGGCACTCACTCAGTTATACCAAGAGATTTGGAAGACAGCTACCTAGCCAACTGATTGGAAGAGATGCATATTTTTACCCATTCCAGAGAAAGGTGATCCCATAGGATGTGGAAATTATCGAACAATATCATTAATATCTCATGCAAGTAAAATCTTACTGAAGATAATTCAAAAACAGTTGCAGCAGTATATTGACAGAGAACTTCCAGAGATGCAAGCTGGATTCAGAAGAGGACGTGGAACAAGGGATATCATTGCTAATATCAGATGGATGTTAGCTGAAAGCAAAGAATACCAGAAAGATGTTTACTTGTGTTTTATTGACTGTGTAAAAGCATTTGATTACGTGGATCATAACAAATTGTGGATAACATTGAGAAGAATAGGAATTCCAGAACACTTAATTGTACTCATGAGGAACCTGTACATAGACCAGGAGGCTGTTGTTCAGACAGAAAAATGGAATACTGCATGGTTTAAAATCAAGAAGGGAATGTGTCAGGGTTGTATCCTTTCACCATACTTATTCAGTATGTATGCTGAACAAATAATCCAAGAAGCTGGAGTATATGAAGAACGTGGCATCAAGATTGGAGGAAGAATCATTAACAACCTGCAATACGCTGACAAAACAACTTTGCTTGCTGAAAGTGAGGATGACTTGAAGTACATACTGATGAAAATTGAAGAATACAGTCTGCAGTATGGATTACATCTCAATATAAAGAAAATAAAAATCCTCACAACTGGTCCTATAAGCAACATTACAATAAACATGGAAAAGATTGAAATTGTCAAAGACTCCACATTACTTGGTTCTACAATCGACGCTAATGGAAGTAGCAGTCAGGACATCAGATGACATATAGCACTGGGCAAATTGGCTGCAAAGGACCTCTTTCAAGTGCTGAAGAGCAAAGATGTCTCCTTGAGGACTAAGGTGTGCCTAACACAAGCCATGGTATTTTCAATTGCCTCATATATCTGTGAGAGCTGGACAATGAATAAGGAAGACCGAAGAAGAATTGATGCTTTTGAGCTGTGGTGTTGGCAAAGAATGCAAGAAGTACCGTGGACTGCTGAAAGAACTAACAGGTCTGTCCTGGAGGAAGTGCAGCCAGAATGCTCCTTGGAGGCAAGAATGAGTAGACTTTGTCTCACATACTTTGGTCATGTGGTGAGAAGGGACCATTCCTTGGAGAAGGATGTCTTGCTTGGTAAAATGGAAGGTCAACAAAAAAGGGGAAGGCTGCCAATGAGATAGATTGACACAGTGGCAGCAGTGATGGGCTCAAGTATAGCAAGAATCATGGAGCTGGCTCAGGACCAGGCGGTGTTTCATTCTGCTGTGCATGGGGTCGCTAGCCTTCAGAGACAACTCGATGGCACCTAACAGCAACAACAACAATAACTATTTATTGAATGAACATTTGAATGAAAACTGACTATTTTTCAGAAATAGGTACTAGTACAGGGGATTATCTTTTACCACTCCCCCTCTCTCCCCTCAAAAGAACCCTAAACTTGTTGCTGTCCAGTTAATTATAACTTATGGTGACCCAGTGTATGACAGAGTAGAACTGCTCCATGGTTTTTCTTGGTTGTAACGTTTATGGAAGCAGATCAACAGGACTTTTCTCCACAGTGCTGCTGGGTGGGTCTGAACCACCAACCTTCAGGTTAGTTGCCAAGAGCAAACTGTTTGCATCACCCAAGGACCTATATCTTTTACCAGGTTCTCCAAATATTGTAGATTTGGGCAAAATGATCAGCATATGAGATCTGTCTTATAGATTCGTTTCTATGATTCATGATCCCAGTGTAGCTTTCTGGACCAAGATCACATGCTCTTCTGACTGGCCTGCTATACACACTTGTTAACAGCAATGCTTTAGAAGGTCTCTTGCTAACAAGCCAAGTACCCTGGTGGTTTAGCCAGGTCAAGGTCATATATATAGCTCCTCAATATTAGATCTGTGTGCAACTGAGAGTTTCCACTGTTTTATGTTCTTGGAATTGGGTCACTTTTGCAAAATGCTCGGATTAACATAAAGTGATATAAGAAAAATTTTCACCAAAATCCACACAGCCTTCATTTAAAATGGGTGGAGTACAGTCCTCGTCTTCTAGATAGTTATAGCATTCAGAACCATAGAACCAACACTGAAATATTCACCTCCTCTTTAATAACTCCTTTCATCTTCAAAATCTCAATGCTGAAAAGCCTCCACACTGGCAGAATTGCTGCATAGCAACACTCAAAGAACCCTCCTTGTTAATATGACTCAAGCTTGCCCCTCCTCACTCAGATGACTCATGCTCAAATGGGCCATTAATAATACTCCCTGCAAAGCAAATTTAAAGGTGACTACATTTTAAATTACATATGCACACATGTCCAACAATCCCCAAGGGCTTTTAAAGGTGGAGAGAGAAAATATTTCCACTTGCAAATGGCAGAAGGGGCTCTGTTCCAAAATTTGAAAAGTAAATCAGATTTAAAATTAGGGCCAGACTTGGAAAATTTCTGCTAAGAGTGATAGTTTTTTGGGAAGGTATCACACTGAAAAACCACCATAGTATTCCATATGGGATATCTTTGTGTTTCTTCCCTTAATATTTTAAGGCTTAAATGTTGGAGTAAGGGCTCCAATTACACTTCAGATGTATTTGCTCCAGTTTTTCACTCTCAGGATTGAATACGTGGAAACTGTCCAGTTTAAACAGAATAGAATCATAGGCACTGCATATCTAGGGTATTATAGACCAAGGTAAATGGACTTCAGAGGCAGAAAACAAGACGGTTTAACCAACTCACAATGCCAGAGATTTGAATTCACTGGATATATAGTGATATTATTATAAAATTGATATTGTACTACAAAATTAAGTCAAATAGTGCCTTTTTTTTTTTTTTTTTTTGCATTTAGGAAAGAATTAAAATACCGACTGCAGGCCAATCCAATCACAAGTTTGATATCCATGGTGACATGCTTAGGCGGTACTGGCTGCTTTGTTCAGGGGCTTTTGTCCCAGCATCTTTCAGCACAGGTCTTCCTCAGTGGTTAATGGAGTTCCCACAGATGCTGGTTTCCAGGCTAGAGCTTGCTTAGTACTTACCACCTAAAGGACCCCAGCCAATAGATGGACATTTTAGGAGAAACTCATAGGCAGAGAGGTCAAACGGTCATCAGGTACTTGGGTCCATCTCATACAAGGTAAGGTGTCCTGATTCCTCTGGCATTATCCTCATTTCAAGACCAAAGCTGATTAAAAAAAAGCTTTGATTTTCTCTTCTAGATGACACCATTACTACTATTAACACTAGAAAGTTCCTAGGGTTACTTCTAGGCACTTGCATGCCTTGGCCCAGTAAAATTCAGACACAGGCCTCCACTTGGATAAGCCCGAGCTCCTCCCTGCACTGGAGCCTTCACCTTTTTCCTCACTTTCAAGTAAACTCTTCTCCGTGTTCCTTCTTGGCTGTCCATTTGTGGCCGCAGCTAACCTTTCCAGCTAGCACCCTGCTCAGACACTTCTGCCTTCCTATCCATGTGGTGCTGAGTTCTCTTTAAAAAGCTAAATACTGGAGGAGGAGGTCACCTTAATCAGCAGTCCATTTTTCAGCAAGGATACTCAGAATGTCTCAAAGCAACTGGTGGGCTGGTGGGTAACAGCTTGGGGTTTCAGGACTAGAGGAAAGCAGGGCAGGGGGGATGGAACTAGAAGGAGGAGGGAAAGGGAAAAGGGTGATGAGATGTCTTTCCCTGTCTTGCCATGCCCCATGGGCAACACAGATCATTTGAAAGTTGCCTCTCAACATTGGCTCAATGAAGGTCAAGTGGTTCCTGTGAAAAGGATACACATGATTACAGGAAAGCTGGTAGGTACTTTCAATGAGTCCTTCTTCATCTAGGTCCACAATGATCTTCTGCCCACAGACAGCACAGATATTGTGTGACAAGCTCCTCGTTGGCATCCCGCTGATGCTGTAGAACTGTTGGGGAAAATGAACACAGCAGAGTTGGGAAGAAGCACACAGGCCATTCTGTGAAAGCAGGGAAGTCACTGCCAGGCTGGCCTAGGCAGCCTCCTTCACTGTTTGTAAGTTGGGTTAGAAGTTGAAAAACGTTTTTCTACAGGAACAGTGCTACAGTGAGGTTAAGGTTTCCAGGTCAGACAAAAACCTACTGAACTCCAAATGAACCAAAAGTGCATGGCTAATTGTAACCACCAATCTAACCTCCACATTAGCAATCCTTCTGGTGGAATAGTTTTTATCCAGGGGTGTGCTTCAGCATCACACAGAAAGCTTTGGGCTTATCCGTAATCTGTTCTTTGCCTCTATTCTCCTGAAATTCCGATGTACAGATCTGGAGTAAGCTCAGGTATCCATACATATTTTTTAAATTCCCATATGATTCTAAGAAGCACACATTAATCACTGTCTGAAGAAAATGCATTTAGAATTCTAACTTGGGATACCTGCACCTTCCCAGTGCTGTGGATGAGGGGTGGTTCTCAACACTCATAGCACATTAGACCCTATAGGGAATTTTAAAAACAAGTAAAATATTTATTGTTGTTGTTGTTGTTATGTGCTGTCAAGTCGGACCCGACTCATAACGACTCCTCTTTGGGTCTCCAAGGCAGTATCACTACGGAAGTAGATTGCCCCATCTTCCTTCTGAGGAGTGGCTGGCGGGTTTGAACCACCACCCTTCTGGTTAGCAGTCAAGTGCTTAGGCACTACGCTACCAGAGCTCCTAAAATATTTATTACAGAGTAGTTTTAGATTAAAGAAAAAATTACAAACATAGTACAGAGAGTTACCAAATAGCCCAAGCTCATTCCTGTTATTAAAATCTTACATTACTAGGGTACATTTGTCACAATTTTGGTGTTGTTGTGTACCGTTGAGTCTCTTCTGTCTCATAGTGACCCTATATGACAAAGTAGAACTTCTCCATAGGGTTTCCTAGGCTGTAATCTTTATGGGAGCAGATTTCTAGGTTTTTCCTCCCACAGAGCCACTGGGTATGTTCAAACTGCCAACCTTTTGGTTAGTAGGCAAGTACTTTAACCATTGCACCACCAGGGCTCCTTCACTACTAAGAACCAATATTGATGTATTGTTATTATTATACTTTATTCAGATTTTCTAAAATTTTGCCTAATGTCCTTGTTCTGTTCTAGGAGCCCATCCAGGATACCATATTATATTAATGGTTGTGTTAACTTAGGTTCCCCCTGGCTGTGACAATTTCTCAAGATTTGCTTATCTTTTATGACCTTGGAAGTTTTGAAGAGTATTTTGCCAAATGCCCCTCAGTTGGGATTTTTCTGTTGTTTTTCTAATGTCAGACTGCAGTTATGGATTTTGGGGAGGACGAACTCACAGATAAAGTGTCCTTCTCATCACATCATACCATGGGCTCATACTATCAACCTGATTTATCACTGTTAACGTTAACCTTGATCACTTGGCTTGACGTAGTGCCTATCAAGTTTCTATACTTTTAAAGTTTTTCTTTTCTTAACCACTTTCCACAATTAATAGGAAGTCATGATGCACAGACCATATTTAAAAAGTGGTGAGTTATACTCCACCTTCTTGAGGGGCCAGTATCTATATAAATTATTTGGAATTTTTCTGCATGGGGAATTTATCTATTCTCCTTCATGTATTGATGTATTCAATCATTTATATCATTGACCTATAGTTATTTATTTTATGCTTTAGGCTATAACCCAGTTCCACTTTATTTATTTTATTGTTCAACTTGTTCCAGCTTTGGCCACTGGGAGTTCTTTTTTTTTTTTTTTTCTTATTGTGATTTGGGTGAAAGTTTACAGAGCAAATTCACTTTCCATACAGCAGTTCACATACACCTTGTCTCATGACATTGACCACAATTTGCCACAATGCATCAGCTCCCCTTTCACTTCCTCCCCGTGGTTACCTCTTCTTTGTGTCCTTCCCTCCCATGCACTCCTGCCCCCCAAGCTGTCCCCTGTGCATACACAGCCCTTCTATTCTCCCATGGCTGATCTCTCCAAGGAATGTATCTACCGAATATAAATGTTCAGCTCATATGCCTGTCTTTTGTTGGGCTGGAAGGCACAGGAGTGGGTTCAATTCCAGACCTGAAGGGCTACTGGGCACCATAGTTTCAGTGGTTCCATCAGGCTCTGTCAGACCAGCAAACCTGGTCCTTTTTTTTTTTAATGATTATGAGTTTTGTTCCACATTGTTCTCCCACTGTATCTAGGATCTCCTACAGAGATCCCTCTCTGAGTGGTTGACGGTGGTAGCCAGGCACCATCTACTTCTTCTGGTCTCATAGTCATATAGGCTGAGGACTGCACAGTACCAGTCACTTGGACTAATTGTTTCCATGTGTCTACGGTTTTCTTCATTCTTTTTTGCTCTGGGTAAGGAGAGACCCATTGTTGCATCTAGATAACTGCTTGCAAGCTTTTAAGATCCCAGTTACTACTCACCACAGTAGGATGTGGAACAATGTTTTGGGTAATATGTTATGCCAATTGAATTTGATGTCCCCTGTGACTATGGTCCTGAGCCCACAGGTCCAACTACGCACTCCCTCTGGGTATCTGGCTGTAGAGAAGAAATGACTACAACCTTGCCCCTTGCCAGCTCTACTATATACCTGGGAATTCTTACAGAACATATAAATATACTTGTAGAAACATTGTCTGCCAACCCTGTACATGGTCACAGGCACACTCTCTCCTGCATAGACATACCTAATAGTTCAGCCTGTGCACCCTCTATCTACCTGTATATCAATGTTTGCCTTCATTGACAACACAGTATGTGCAAAAGGGTTAATCTCTTCATTGGGAGTTCTTTTAGTTGACTTCTGTGTCTCCTTGGCATTCTTCCATAATTGTTTCTTTTCTTTTTTTTTTGTCAAACACTTCCTTATTTTCTGGCAGTATAAGATGTTCCAGGCTCATCTTGCCAATTTCCTGTCCCAGGAGTAGATTCAGCTATTTCCTGAAGGAGTCCTGGTTCTTTTTATTGGAGAATGGTATTAGAAACCCAGATCTGGCTGCTGGATGTACTCATTGCTACTGTGTATCATTGCTTCTAGGCCCTTTCAGCTGACATGGCAAGGAAATATCTATGTATATACCAACACATGCATATGCATATATCTATAAATATTTCTATATGTATCCATCTGTATTTACATTAAAGTAAACATGAGTTCAAACTGATGTCTCCAACTCTAATCCATTACCACACGGGTCTCCCCATCCTTGTCTGTAAACTTTCATTTCAACAGTGAGAATGGCTCCCACCATCCATTTACTTAAGTGTTCAACTCCAGTATACATATGTAGTGGTATCAAAATTAAACTGTACTCTGGATGAAAACAACTTGAGCAACAAGAACACAGTGTTTACGTACAGTTTTGCCTTTAGTCATACAATCTCCATTCATTTCCAAAATTACTTAGGTCACCTTTTCCCCCTACCCTATTCAGAGAGATTTTTTTTCATGTATTAGTAGTATAGCATGGTTTTTCTTGTCACAGTTTGCAATCTATCCTGGGATATCCTTCTTGACCTCGTAAATGATCTTTTAAAATTTGCAGATATTAAAGTTCATTCTTTGTGCTATAACTTCCTGTGGGTTTTGACAATGCATAATGTCATGTATGTAACATTGCAGTATCATACATAAATATCCCTGTGCTTCACGTATTCAACCCTTCCCACCTCCTTGAACTTCTGACAACCACTGATCTGTTTACCATCTCTATGGTTTTGCCTTTTTTGGAAAGAATGTTCAGTGTCAGGGACAGTTGGATGTTTCTATTATCTGGAATCCATCTAACTAGAGAGTTTGTTAATTCTGACTTTTAATTTTAAGAAAGTTAAATGATCATTATGATGAGTACCGGTTGAGTCTTAAATGTTTTACGCAGCATCAAATATGACTTTTATATACATTAGGCAGAGTTACATAAAGAGTTTTTGATATGTTTATCTTTTATTAATTTTTAAAAGCTACTGGAGTAGAATAGACATGGTAACTTTCAAATAATTGGCATATTTCATTAAATAAGGCACCCAATTCCATAACCACTCTATAAATAATTAAGGTATTCTCTAATTAATTAACAAATAGAATTGTGTCATTGTTGTTGTTGTTATGTGCCATCGAGTTGGACCCGACTCATAGCGACCCCTCCTTGGGTTTCTGAGGCAGTATCACTATGGAAGTAGATTGCCCCATCTTCCTTCCAAGGAGTGGCTGGTGGGTTTGAACCGCCAGCCTTCTGGTTAGCAGTCAAGTGCCTTATGTACTATGTTACCAGAGCTCCCAAGGAAAATCCATGGCACAATTGGGCTGGGAGAACGATTTAGCTATTAAAATGGTGTTAAAGGAAAAGATAAATAGCATAAAGGCAAAGATTAATCTTTGTATTTCTGAAATTGGGTACAAATATGTAGGATGAGACCATTTCTCCACATGCTTTGAATCCAAAGAATGAAGGCATCACTTACCCCTATAGTGGAAGCCATGTAATCTGAGCAGATCTCAGCAAAGTCTCTCCCCATGATTCCGTAGTAGAGGCCATAGAACAAGGATACAATGCCAAAATCCATGGAATCTCTAGCTTTGATCCTATTGAAAAAAACAGTATAAGGAGATCCAAATGTGGCATTTGGTGTGTATGTGTGTGTGTGTGTATGTGAAGGCTAGTGCTCCAAAAACATTTCCTGCCATAGTGTCTAACAGAACCTTGTAGGTGTTTATTTGTATAGGCTATTTTTTATTTTTTAATAAAGCATTAAAAATTCTCTAAATTACCCTCAAATTGCATCATTCAGGACTAAATGGACAAAAGAATTCTTGAGATGGTCTTCAAACGTGTCCTAGGACCGAAGGGCTTAGACTAGCAGACTCTAACCAGTGGTTCTCAACCTTGGCTGCACATATGAATCCCTGAGGACCTTGTAAAAGTCTCCATCTCCAGGCCACAACCCAGGTCAATTACATCAGAATCTCTAGGGATGTGGCCTGTGCAGCAGTCTTTTTTGACGCTCCCCAGACTCCAGGTGTTCCAGTGGGCAGCTGATGTTGAGAACCACTTTAATAGAGCAGTGGTTTCCAACCTAAAAATACTGAGGCATGTGCCCCACCCTCAGGAACACTAATTTCATTGGTCTGGGGTGGGGTCTGGACAGCAGTATTTTTTAAAGAGCTACTCTGGCAATTCTACAGTACAGTTAATGTTGAAAATCACTGTTACAGAGGTTTAGATGTTACAGAATGCATTAAAATATTTTATCTTTTCTACAAATGTGTGAGATACATATTGTTATTCCTGCTTTACATTTGAAACAAATGAGGATTTAGAAAAGATGATTTAACAAATTTTGAGGTCTGTAGTTGCCATATGTTAATAAAAAGGTTTTTTTTTTTTGTTTTTTTTGCAAGTTGAGTCATATTTCAAACATATCGAGATCCTCTAGGGTAATTATTTAAAAAGAAAGATCTCTTTAAAAATCAATGTTGTTGTTGTTATGTGCCTATGAGTTGGACCCGACTCATAGTGACCCCTTCTTGGGTTTCCAAGGCGGTATCACTACAGAAGTAGATTGCCCAACCTTCCTTCTGAGGAGTGGCTGGTGGGTTTGAACTGCCAGCCTTCTGGTTAGCAGTCAAGTGCCTTAG